CATCCATTAGCAATAGTCACATGGCACCATGACCTGTGCTTTGGGCACTTAAATGTGCTGTAGAAGTCTGAGCTTTGTCTGTGTTTCCTAAATGCTGTGGAGAAGACAGATGCTGGGGCATGGTTCATATGCCCCCTAAAGTGACTTTTTGGAAAAAAATGGGAGGTACTAGGAAGATTCATATTTGGATTGAACAAACTCTGGAAGGACTGGCAGCCACCCCTATTCCAAGAGAAGAGGCTTGGCTGAGATTGTAGAAGGAAAGTTCTACATCCGCTTGGCTGGTAATGCCAGAGGGAACATCTGGCTCAGAGTGAATACAGAAACCAGAAAAGGTAGATTTGGAGACTATCATTTCTTTGATTTTAATTTTTAAGAGAGAAGATTTTAGTTTGAACTTTCTCTCTGGATACTTGTTAGTGGGAGATTTACATTCATATATACTGGAGGACCATATATACTTGGGCCTCTTATGTTATCCAGCTGTACTGTTGATAACTATGCATATTACACACAGCAGTATGGCTGGATAATGTGGGAGACAGTGAGTTCTAGCATAGGGTATGACATAACCTAGACATCAATAAATTGGTGTCTAGTAGTAGTGTACCGAGAGGCATTCAGAGTTTAGCCTGAGCTAAAATCTAGTGCATGAATTCCAGGGAATATTCAAGGTCAGTGATTCTCTGAAGCATGCAATTTACATGTGGCTCTGTACACAGTCACACTCCACTGCCACACTGACAGAGTGGCCTCAGGAATCTACCCAAAGCTAGAAGTGATAGATCATGTCTCGCTGGGCTCTGTGGTCAGTAAGTCCCCTGCTCTCTCTATTTGTACAGTGTAATAACTTTCAAGCAAGGAATGAAAGCAAAGACCCCGAAGTAGAGCCTCATTCCTTGTTCTGGCTTTTGGCTTAGAGAATGGTGAAAACATCCTTCCTGGCTCTAAATGATTTCAGAAGACAGAGTTGTTGGCCATACTGGATAACTCCAGAAGGGACACTATCATCTGGACAACAAATGGTGGACAATAAGTGGTGTTTTGCTGTGTGGGAAAAAATAGTGGACATCTATAAGGATATGCATGTAGGAACCTATTGGTGGGAGGGGGCATAGGCTGAGTGTATATCAGATTTTATGACTATAAATCTTTAGGCTTCAACTTGGATGGAGCTGGAAAAAATCATGCTTAGTGAGATAAGCCAGAAAGAGAAAGAAAAATACCGGATGGTTTCACTCATAGCAGGAGTATAAT